GAGATGGGATGAGCCTTTGCTCGTCCTCACTCAGTCCCCATGTGTCCAGAGCCTGCACACAGGGAAGAGATAGGCCCCTGCCTGCTGGAAGAGTTGGTGTCTACAGGATGGCATGAAGCTTGGGACCTCCCTGCCAGGAGTGGGCAGGGAGAGGATGGGTGTCCCTGGCCATGACTGGGCTGGAAATGGCCACACCAAGGTACCTGTGGGGAAGGTTTCTGCCACAAGCCCTGTGACAAAAATTTCTAACAGGGTTTGCTGGGGATTTCTATGTCTTTTAAAAAAATATCAAAAAATCTGTCTCTTTCCTTTTCTTCTCATGTTAAGGGCCAGAGTATTGGGACAGGGAGACTGGAAATTTGGTATTTCTCTGGGACAGATGCAAAGCAATGAGGTCTTTCTTTTCCCATGGCCTTTCCTTGTGCCATGGTTCCCTCCAGCACTTGTGGGGGGCAGGTTGCTATCTCAGACGAGTAGTAATTTTTTTCCCCTTTGCATATTATAAAATACAAACAAATGACAGAAAAGGTCAGGTGGTGGGAGGCAGGAGGGGTTCAGCTGGCTCAGAGCTGTAGGGACCGTCGCTTCCTCCCAGAGATGTTACGGTGGTTGTAAGGTCGCATCTTCATTTCCACAAAGGGGATGGAGAACTCATGGCCTTTCCAGTGGTACCAGTTAATACCCTGGCAGGAGGGAGAGAAAGGCAGAGGGTAAGGAAAATACAAGAAACTAGAGTGGGAGAGGAAGGAAACAAGGTTGATTGCTGTAGAGAAGCCAGAAGGAAAAACTTGCTATAGCAGAATCAAGCAACTCCCCTGCTTCTATGGCTTGATTGTTTTTTCCCACTGCTCAAAGGCTGAGCAAATTTCATGTAGGTAATTTTTTTAATCTAACACACCACAGAAGATTACTATGGCAGTCCATGTGAGGCACAAAGCATTAGCCTAGTTGGCTTGAAGGTGGCTCCCTTTTCTCCATCTGGTGTGGGGTTATGTCACCAGTTCTGACTTTGGTGCACTAATCACACAGCCCCAGCCCTACCCTGGGCTTGCTGACATGTTTCCCTGGAAGAAATTCCAGAGGCTTTCCGCCCAGCTCTGCCCTTACCTGACTGTGCCGGGACTCTCCGTACTTGCCGTTGAGGTTGGTGCGGTGGCAGTTCTTATACCACCAGGCTCCTTTGTAGGACATGGCACAGTTGGTCACAGCAACATCATTGTCCCTGTCCTTGGTGGAGAAGGGGCGTCCCTGGTGATAGGAGAGGGAGTCTCCTGTGGAAAGAGGTGCCATTAAAGGTGATGGAGTCTGAGTTATCTGGTCTTCTCACAAGGAAATTAGGATATCCTGGTTATGTGGCAACCATTCTAACAGCTGACAGTCTGGGAGTAGCATTAGCTGCAATTATTCACAATTGGTTCATCTGAGGTCCTCTGCTGTCTGTTTAGGATCAGTGCAGACCATAGCAGATCTTAGAGACTTCTTGGCTTTGTCAGATAAAGTGCTTGGACATGTGTTTGGATCTTAATTTCAGTGTTTCAGAAATTAATTCAATCCCAGATTTTGGCATCCCAGATTTCCCAAGGCTTGGCTCTGCTATGTAACTTCAGGATGCATTCAGCCTCCTTCTTTCCTGTTAGCCAAAGGGAGCTTTTTCTCTCAAAGGAGACCAAACATTCATCTCTTGAACCAATATGCTTGGCCACCTTTTGGTGGCCTCTCTTTCCTCTCTTTGGAAAAGGGGAAGATGTTTTTGGAAGCTGTGTGATGTCTTATTCCACCAAAACCTCTAACCAACCCTCACTAGATAACTAGAGAGCTGCTTTTATGTGAAAGAAAAGCTGGAGTAAAATATGATCAATTGAATGATGTACTTAAAGGAGATATTCTAAATACGCTCCTTGGTAATCCCTAAAGACATATGAAGTGGACCCATGCTGGCTGTGTGCAATCCAGCCATGGAGAGACTTATTAGAAAACCTCTTGGCAATGAACCATCTGTTGAGCCCTGGCTCCCTTAGCTCAAGGTGGAGCAGAAGCTCCTTGGCTGGATGGCTAGAAGCAGAGTTTGCATGAGGAATGGGATGGAATCATGTCTGCATGACCCTACTACTGCCATCCTTGGCAATAGGTTTGGTGCCTTGTGCCCTGGGATTTGAGTTTAGAGCAAGTATTTTGTTGCACACCATTAAGATTCCTGTCACTTCTCTTCCAGGCAACTAATTAGTATTGAGTAGGGAAATTCCTGCATCTTGGGTATGTTGTGGGGTTCCACCTAGTACACAGTGGAAGTTTTGTCATGGAGGCTTGCACTGGGCATGTCTAACCCAGATGAAGGGGCTACAGTTGTACCCCTTCTCCCTTCCTGAGGAAGAGATCTCCTGTGCCCTCCCTCAAGCATCCACCCATTTCTAGTGGGCAACTCTAACTCTCCTGGATCAACCAAGCAAGCAGGTGTGACAGTGTCCTTGCAAAACTGATCAGTGTTCCTTTATGTGAGGAAATTACGCAGAGGATTTCAGATTTTTCCATGGCTGTGGAAAGGCGATAAACACAGCCTCCAGCACGACATAAATAGCCAGCTGTGGCTATTGCCAAGTGAGATGACACCTCTGATGATTGACCTGGTTATTTGAACTGCAATGTCTCTGATATTAAGTATCTAATCCCCAATGGAAAATTCCATGTCCTTAGTGGGATTAGCCTGGTTTACACAATGGACTGCAAGAAGGCAGAAAGGATTATGGGTATTTGTCTTGTCACTCTAGACAAGTGAGATGTCATGCTGGGATTTCCTGTACAGTCCTGGACCAAGCAGTCACAGGATTTCCCAAGATCCTTGCTAGCAGTGAGGCTGTACCTGAAGTGCCATTGTAGTCCCCAATGCGCAGTTTGTAGAGGCTCCGGGAGTCACCAATGGAGAACTTGTCATAGTAGGCATATGCTGTTTCCTGACCATCCCTCATGTCTATTCGCAGCTCATAGCGCCCTTGGGACGTGATCTTGTGGATGTTGTCCAAGCCTGTCAAGACAGTGAAACACCCAATGAGGGCTGGTGCCCAGATTTGCTCTGTGAACAAACAAGGAAAGCTCTAGGCAAATAAAACAGCAGTGGGAAATGAGAGCAAGGAGAGGAATCAAAGAGCAGCAGCAGTTGTGGTGAGTCTGTTTATCTCCCAGCACTGCTGGGGTCTGAGCTCTCTGTCCCCACTCAAACGTCACTTCCCTGTGTCTACAAGTGGTGGGTTCAAGGCCCAGGCTCAGATTTCTTCATGCTGCTGAAGCTTGGAACATTCATCTGTTGAGCCCTGGTGCTACTAATGTTGTTGTTAAGCTCCCATACAAGCCAGAGTGTGTTTATGCTGCAGGTCCCTTTGGCTCATGTTCAGGTTTTGGAGGAGCACTCAGTTTCAGAGCTGTGCTGTCTTCCACTCACCCCTTTCCTGCTTTCATTGGACAGCCGACTTTCTGGCCACCCATGCAACCTGTGGTCATCCAATGGACAGTGATGGGTTTTGGTCCATGAAAACTGACAGCATACCCTGCTTCTCTCCTAGACAGGGCAAACTAGGGAGCTGCTGATCTTCAGAGTGTGCCTTTATGTGGTGTGCCTCTGCATGAGTTCCTAAGGTGAAAGGCAGGGAATGAACAGAAGGAAAACTGTCTGAGGGAGAATGTAGAGGAATGTGGTGAAGGGCAAGGAGCCAACAGCTGACACAGTGCATATGGAACTTAGGTTTGACACATCAATGAAAGGCAACCAGGGAAGGTCATACCCAGCCAAAACTCATCCTCCAAGTTTCCAAAGCCAACCCGGTAATCTGCCCATTTCCGGAAGAAATCAGTCAGCCCGTTCTGCCGCCGCTGGAAGACCTGATATGAAGGAAGACCAGGGGGAAAATCATAACGATGGAGATAAGAAACGGCTTTGCCAGGCTTTGGACACACAAGGAAAAGATAATAATTTTCTTTCCATTGTGCCTTTCAGGGGAGAAAAATGCAATACCCATCCAGTTAGCATTAATTGCAGCCATGTGATTAATTCATGTGCAGGTGTAGAAACCAAAGAGATATTAGATAATGTCCAACGCAAATCAATGGTAGAATAGGAAGAAATTGGCCTTTGAGGTTTCTGCTTTAACTAATACTGCCTTATGTATTCTAGTACATAATTCTCCTTTGAGCTGGCTGTTTCTGTGATATCCAAGGGGATATTCTGGAGCAGAGAGGGAAATTTACTGGCTAGAAATCAGCATTTGAGGAAGCCCATTTTTTTGGTTTTGACTATACATCTAACAGGGCTTTGTGTAATGTGTGTAAGAGTTTGACATGAATAAGATCAAAGCACCATGGCATTATTTACTTACACTGTCAGTCCATCTACGTCAAGACAAGCAGTGTTTGTACAGTTCAAAAGCCAAACTGGCATTTGTTTCTAGAGTTCTCCTATGCAGACTCAATTGGGGTGATGCCTGACACGCTCCTTCTGCAGGCAGCGTGAATCATTCCCCGTGAAAGCCACCAGCCATTAATTTCATTTCTAGCACAATAAATCAGCTTCACTCACAGATTTTGCTTTCCAGAAGCCCTGCAAACGTGTCAAATAAATCAAAGGGCATTTCTCCAAGTGTAACTATTATTACCAGAGCGTGGGCCATTCCCTGTGGCGTGGGAAATGAAGCGTGTGATGCTGAGCCTGCTGTCATTCCCATGCTTTGCTGGTAGGGGCTCAGTTACTTTGTGATGGGGACATGCAGGACAGCCACATGGATACTCACAATCCAGCCACCTCCGTCGGTGGTCATGTCGCAGTACACCGGCACCCGCTGGCTGAGGTCCCCGTTGATGGAGATGGTGTAGACCCCGCTCAGCGTGTCTCCATTCATCAGGTGCTGGGCGCAGTCCTGAGGGTTAGCAAAGACACGTCCTCCTGCAAAATTTAAAAAAAAAAAGGTAAAATTCTAGCAAAGAGACACTTTTTTTCCCATGCCTCAGGTTCCACTAATTACAATCCAGGAAAAGTCTATCTTGGCTTCTGCATTCCAAGTAATTCCACGAGGTGGTGAGACTTTATATCTGCCATCAACCTCAGAGGACTAACTGGAAAAAAAATGTGTGCATATATTAATTATTCTTCCATATGTCATATACTGGAAAAGTGCATGGTAACATCACGATGAGTGATGAGGGATGTCACTTCTTGGACCATCTTTCTGCACTATGTCTGAAACCCTGGGGTTTAAGCTGTCACCAGCATATTTAGACAGCTGTGAAAATACCAAAATCTGTTCTCCTCTCAGGATTGCCAGCTCCAATCAAGTTTTATAATGTCACTCATTTCAGGGGGATTCTCCTGATTCTCCATGCCCTTGGAAATGATGGTGAATTTACGCTGAGCTAATTGTCGCTTGCAAGCTGAGCAGGAATGAGGCTGTGTGAAATGCTAGAGGTAGGTAGCATGGGCTGTGCTACGGGTGTTCTCTAATGAGGAAACATCTTATTCTGTGGTCAGAGTTTAGGAGAGTCTTAATTATGACAATTATTCTGCCAGTACTGGAATGTCAACTCGGGGAACAATTTTTTCTTATTTAAGACAAAAGAGGGAAATACATCTTTTTCTTTGGAGTTGGTATGTATGGATGATGGAGTGCAGAGCTGGCAATGTGGATGTGGTTTTTAAAGATGTCTGTAACAAACTGAGAAGGTGTGAGGGACCTTCAAATCTTCTATGCTGTGTGTGTCCATCACAGTTGTGTAGTGCCCCATAGGACCAAGGCACAACCCTTGTCTGTTGCTTCCCATTTGGGTGTATTCCCCCCCACCTTGTGACCTGAAGACTTGGAGGTCATTGCTGTGTCCAAATATCCCCTCTTTGTTCTCCCCATCTTCATGGTCTGTAGCACAGTCTGGCGAGACATTGTTTGTATTTAATATCATCCAACAATGAAAACTTTTTAAACGACAACCACTTTGGGCTCCCCTGAGCTCTGTGGAGATTGCTTGTTTCTTAATTTGTATTCATATCTTTAAGAGCCAAGGAGACCTTGAAAGACATTTCAAACCACTATAAATTATAAATACTGTATCTGTTTCTTCCTTTTGTCTCATCTGTATACAATTCCCCAAGAACCTTATGCAAACATTAAACAAAAGAGGCTGAGCTATTAATATGTCAGAGGGAATAGAAGAACCCCGGGATGTGTACTGTAAGCAGAAGGAAGTAAAACAATTTAAATTAAGCCTGGGTGGCTTTTTTGTTGTTGTTGTTGTCCTTAAGGACAAGTCCTTGTTCTCTGCAGAGTGCCTTGATAAACAAAGTGCCAGAGTAAACTGAATTGCAGATCTAGATGCTCTGATGAGAAATGCTGTCCATGGATTGCATTGCCTTGCTCCTGCTTGCTTCTGTCTCATCAATATTGGGGTAAGTGGGGAGGAACCGACTTGTTACTAATGCTTATCTTCACCTTCAAAACAAGTTAAATGTATCGGATGCTGTATCAGCTGGCAATGGGGACTAGCGTTTCTGAGGTCTGACACTTCTGTTTGATAGAAAAGGTGCTCTCCTTGCCTGATGTAAGTGGGTTTGTGCTGCTTTATCCCACCTGAGAAGTCACCCCCATGCAGCTTCATCCCTGACTCCTGAGCAGCCTCAAAGATTACATGTATTTTTTCATTACCTGCCTGAATTGTATTGGCTTTATGTGCATGTGCAAGAAGCAAGAATAACAGGAAAGCCTATTTTGTAGGTGTATTAGAGAAGTAATTTCTTCTTTTGTTGATGTAAATAGTTTCTTTTATCACTTAAAAGCAGGTGAAGGGACCTTTGCATGTAACTGAGATGGGGAAGTGTATCTACAGCAGATTCAAAGAAAACTCTTCTAATTGAACTGGCAGCTCAGATGGGAGGAATTTTTGGGACATCATCTTGAGACTTCTCAGCGCTGCTGACGCCCAGGAAAACCATGGTTGGATTCAGCCCTGAACAAGATGCATTCTGTCTGTAAGTGCCCTGGCCTAGCCATGCTTTTCAAAGAGGATGAGGGACAATTTTCTTGGTATAATTTCTATTATGAATGGTTGCAGAGGATGGGAGTAATGGTGACATTCTCATGCAAGTTCTTGGAAGAGTAAGTATTCTGTCTGTGAGGGTTGTGGTGAGTGGATGCCCACCTTTTGATTTTGAAAGGAAACCATTGCCATTACTTTAGTGCCTTAGTGGATTGTGAATGCTCTAGAATGAGAGTGGGGAGGAATAATGCAATTAGATAAAGTGCTGGCTCTGCTATCTGTGACCCCACTGGTGGTGGTGGAGATGCACCTGCTTGATATTTCCAGGGATACTCCAACCCTGAAAACTTTCAAGGTCAAATTCAACAGGGCTCTGAGCAACCTGATCATGCTGAAGATGACCCTGCTCACTGCAAGGGGATTGAACTAGATGACCTTTTAAGATTCTTTCCAAGATTCTTTCCAACCCGAAATATTATATGATTCTTTGATATTTGTAAGCAATCAGATCGTGTCTACAGAATGGAGACACTGGCTGGGTCCTCTCTCAGGAGCATACCTTTTGATATGTGTTGTTGATTTCAGTGAGTATTTTTTCCTCTGTTTATGCACTTGAGGATGGACATGGGCAAGGCAGAGAGCCTGGTCTGGTCTGGTTCCTGGTCTGAAGCTCAAATCCCCTTGCCCTGGGCTGGGTCTTGTGTTTGAATCATAGATCCTTCAGCCATTAACTTCTTGTAGTGAAGCAACACTGTGGGTGATGACATTGTAAGCACCCCTCTATGGATCATAGAGGAGGATCATTGCCTGAGGAGGGAGAGTCCCCAAGAGCAGTCCATTCCTACCAGCATGATACGTGGGCCAACCTCCACCTGTCTGAGTGGATGCATTGTGAGCCCTCACCTGTGGTGAAGGTGGTTGAGATGAGGCCGCTCCGCATGGCGTTTTGGGCAGCTTGCAGGTGCACCGTGTACTCTGTGGTCTCAGAAAGGCCCTCCAGACGGATCCACGTGTCCTCAGCATCCACAATCAGCTCCTGTACATGGGTCCCAGAAGGAGGTAGACATCAAGAGCAACAGATGAGAAAAGCGATGGGGAGCCTAAAGAGCAAGTGAGGAGGGAAGGGAAGCCACAAACTACCGCAGCCCTTGGAGCCTGGCCGAGGAGCTTTGCATGACTGCTTAGACCCCTGGACGGAGTGAACGTGAGATCAGTCAATATAGAAAACATTTCAGAATGGTTTGGGTAGGGGAAAAAAACCCGGTTTGGAGATGGATTTAAATGTTTGCAGTCTGTGTCCTCTGTCTGCTAGGCCTTTTGGGACCTGTGTGCCTGCAGTACAAAACATGACTGATTGCCCAAACAGCTCAAGGAACAGAGCTGGTCAAACCTGGTTATCAGCTAGTTTTGACTCCATTGATTCCTGTCATGTTAATTTTTCTGGTTGTTGGCCAGTGCCACACAGCATTATTGAATCCCTTTTGCAAAGCTATTATCCTCTGGCTGCTGCAAGCCAATCACACCAGCAAAGGAAACCAGACTATTTGCCATGACGTATTTCTGATAGTGTTTGTTGCAGCTCCTCCAGACAGGCAGATGTGGACACACTCATTAAATAATCAAATGTATTGTATTGCAGGGTTAATTAGCTGTCTGTGCCTATCTTTCTTTTTGCAGGAAGGGCAAATGGCATTTTTAGCATCTCTGCAGAATAATGTTCTCCTGCCTCAGCTTGCTTATGTTTCACAAACTGTGAATTTCCCCTGTTCCTCCAAACTTTCTAGGTAACCCCTCTATGCCCAGACCAGGTGTGCATAAACATTTTGCCTTAGGCAATCTCTTCTTGCTTTTTCCCATCATCCTGCTTAGCAGGAAGTAGTGTCTATGCTTCTGGTCTTCCTGAGCCGGTGAGCATCATTCTTTTGCTTTGGATTCTCCTGCGCCTTTTACCATGGTCTTACTATTCCCTGACCTAATGAGCCTCTTTGGTGTGAGGACTCACTCACCTTCCGGCTGCCATCGGTGGATCTGTAGGTCATGACATAATTCTCGATCTCTCCCATGGGAGGAACCCAGGACAGCAGGGCGCTCCGTCGTGTGACTTCACTGGCTGTCAGATTTGTTGGAGGATCCAAAACTGCAAGAGTGGATAGGCAGCCAGGGAAGTGCAATTTCTCACACACAGCTTCCCAACTCAGTACCCTGGGATTCATCCTTACAACAGCCCAAAGTCCATCCTCACCCTCAGTTTCAAGACCTCATCACCCTTCTCCTGTCTTGAACAGAGCTCTGCAAGCCCTCTAGAAATCCTCCTCTACCTGTGTGCCACCTTAAGGGTAGCAGCTGTGAAATTCATGTGCTGTCAAGCCGTTTGTGAGAAAAATGGGTTGTCCTGTTCTTCTGGACTATGGCCTTGGGCAAAAAAAAGACCCGGTCAGGGGTCTGCTCAGGAAACCATATCCAAGGGAAATCACTGAAAGAAATGGATGAATGGATGGATAGATGTTGAAAGAGTGAAAATAATGGTTGATGCTTGTTGATCAGAATTCTGTTCTTATGTTGTGCCCTACACTGGTATTTGGGATTGGTGTTTGTGTCCTTTTGGCATGTGGCTACCTCTACACCCACGCTATGTAACAAGAGCTCCAGCTCAGCCTTGCTGGCTGCTTTTCCTGGGGTGGGAGTGTGGCTAGGGGTGAGTGAGGGAAGTGATTGTACATACGAGTAGTGAAGTTGGTGCTGATGGTCTGGCTGGTGAGAGGCCCACTGGTGGCATACATAGAGACTGTGTAGGTGGTAGTGGGCAGCAGGTTGGTCAGCTGGTACTCCTGCTTGTCTCCATCCACAAGAATTGTTTCTCCTGAAACTGTAAGCAAAAAGGGATGAGTTAGGGTAGATGTTCAAGGTGGTTCTCTAAAATGTGTCTCTGGATATGACCTCATGAATAAAAGCACTTCTATTGCTGAAACACCATAAGTTACTGTTCAGTCTGAAGGGTGGTCTAGTTTTTCCCATAATCCCTATAAAACCCAAGGCAAGGGCTCCTTCCCTACTCCCTTTGTGAAGGGCACCCACTGAGCCCTGGGCTTTGGGATGGGAGAGAGGTTGAGGTGAGCTGAAACAGAGCCCCGGTGTACCTGCACGACGCGTAAGGATGAGGACATAGCTTTCCACCTCTGACAGCGGCGGGTTCCACTGCAGCAGCGCCTCGGTGGGAGTGATGTTGGTGGCTGTGACCCCCAGGGGGACATCCATGGCTGCATGGGGGAGAGATCCAGAGTCGGAGGCATTAGGAGACTGGAGTATGAACTGGAAAGGCTTCTTGTATATATGTCCTGCCCTGCTGCCCAGACACATGTGCCTGCACAGAAGTTACTGCTGCCCAAGCTGGAGGGCAGAGATGTCACAGCTTGTGTTACTCTGCTGGGCTGCTCTTCCACTCTTTTCTTGATGCCCAGTCTGGCATGTTAGGGGTTTTCTTTAGGTTTTGAGGAGTCTGAGGATAGCAGAAGGTTTTGTTCTTGCAGCACATGCTGTTTGTGGCAGGGCTTCTCTAGGGATTATTTCTGGAAATTTGTACTCTGTTTAGGAAAGGTTGTCATGATTGCCCAACATCATATTTCTGGCTTCCCTGTGCCTGGTACACAGGTTTATCAGTTTTACCCATGACTACCCATGCATATTTGGGATAAACTTTGCCGAGACATAATTCAAAAGCCCACACTGAGCCCTTGTAAGCCCTGCTTATCATCTCCAGCTTGCATCTGGCTGGTGTGAGGTCCAGCTTTCAGTCACCTGAATATTAGTGCAAGAAGGGACTACCAGCCCTGGGCAGGGCTGAACCTGTTTGATTGTTCCCTGCCCATCAAGAGCTCCTTCCCACCTGTGTACACAGTGATGGAGGCCAGCTCGCTCTCCTCCCGGCCCCGCACGCTCTTCACTCCGATCTCATACTTGGTGGCCGGCTGCAGGTCTTGGAGGGTGTACTCGGTGGCATCCCTGGAGATGGCCATACTGTCTGTCCTCCCTGCAGAGATGGAGCCAAGAGCTTGGACATCACAGCTGGCCCCATCCCAGGGTCTCAGGAGGAGGGGAGGACAGCTCCACAAGACACTGTAAGTGTAACTGGGTTTCATGTCTGCAGGTGCACTCCTATGTGCCCATCACTCTGTTGGCCTGGCCTTTTCAGCATCATCGACAAAACTGGGGCCAAGGGAGATGAGATAGTCAAAGCAGATGAGGGAGGTGGGATTTCAGGACTGAGCCCTGAATTTAACCATCTCTGGGGAGCACACACTGCTGGGGGCTCCTCTGTGCTGAGCTGGCTCAGTGGTCCCTTTCCATCCTCATCCCAGACACCCCATCCTCTGCCCTGTAGCCAATCCCAGTTACTGGTCGCTTTGCCCAAGGCACTGAGATGCTGCCTGGGTGAGGATGACCTAGTTGCTTGCTTGGGCCAGGAGATGGAGGGAGGGTTGGCAGCTGTGAGCTCAGGGCATGAACAGGAGTGGTCTGGCCTGTTACCTTCGGCAGCACGGTAGGATATCCTATAGTGGTCAAAGGCAGCAATGGGAGCACTCCAGTAGACCATCATGGACTCCTGGGTGACGTTGCCCACCCTGAGGTCCTTTGGTGCATCAATCCCTGGTGAGAGGGAGCACAAAGAAAAGCTGTGGGAGGCAGGCCCACTCCCCTTGCCCCTGCCTGCCCTCCCCAGTGATGTCCTGTGCCTGGTGGGGGGTGTCCCGTGGTACCTGTTGTGATGGAGCCCACGACAGGCTCAGAGCTGATGGTGCCGTGCACGGCCACCAGTGACACCAGATACTCGGTGGATGGCTGCAAGCCCGTCAGGCTGGTGTGCCTGCGGGTGCCATCGAGTGTGACCTGCTGTGCCTCCTCCTCATCCCGGGGGCTGTAGGTGAGGATGAGGCGGTCTGCTGGTGGGGATGGGTCACTCCATGTGACATTCACACTGGAGGATGTCAGCTGGGAGAAGTGTAGCTGTGAGATGGGCCGAACACCTGGAAGATGGAGAGGAGAGGTGCAACCCCAACTGTCTGCAGATCCTTACCTCACAGTGCTTGTATGGGAAATACTTAAAAGAAGTGGCAAAGCTGAAGATATGGGTTCTCCACTGATCTGAAACTGTGCTGGGATCAAGAGGCAGAACCAGGAAGGGGAAAATGTTGCTCTTCTCAGCTTCACCTGTAAATATCCTCTGTACCAGATGCATACGGTGGGTGATAGAACTGTCCCACTACAGGTGGTATGTACTGTCTGCACTTCATGACTGCAGACTTTTCAGCCAG